AGGAGGTGTTGCTCGAGTAGGTCAACAGTGAGGGAGGTGGGGTCAAGGGAGAGAAAGTGGTCCCTGACAGAGCGAAGAGAGTCAGGGAGGCGGGTGACTATAAAGTAGAGAGTGATGAACATCGGGGGCTGGTTCCTGTCAAGGAACTCAGCTGGGGCGGCAGCGCGGTAGCGAGCGTCGCTAGCGCGAAGGTGGGAAACCAGGTCCTCTACTGTGGCAAAGGCGGACAGCTCGGGAAACAGGTAGGGCAGGAGAAGACGGCCTAGAGCAGCAGTGGCAGGCGAGGAGTAACGAGCTACTACAGCGTCGTACAGTGCCTGTGTTGTCCTGTGCTGTCTGAAGTGAGCGCATTCGGCTAACGGCAGGTGGTTGCGAATGGCTAAGCGAGCAGCAGCGTCACGAGTAAGACACTATGAGCGAGTTGCACTGTCAGCTGTGGCGGGAGAGGCGGGAGCGGCGCCAGACGTGTGGTCATGTTAGATAGTAGTGAGAATGACGAGAGGATGATTTACTAGGAAGCAAGGAAGGGTACAAGTACAATGTCGAGAGAGATTGTGTACCCCCTAAGGCTAAACCCACTATAGCCTAGATAACTGTAAACACATAAACACATATGTTTGACACACCCCCATAGGCGAAGTGGGGGATAGCAAGAGCAAGCAATGGTCACAAGACCAGTCAAGAGAAGAAGCAAAGCAAAGTAAGCTCAGAGTGGATCACAAAGTCACCACACAGTCCGAGCACAAGCAAAGTGAGGCAAAGTAGGCACAAGGCCTAACACAGTAACAAAGCGCTGATGATCACCAGGCGGAAGTGCCTTGGTGAAGACATCAGCAGTGTTGGCCCGAGTGGTCATGTACGCAAGGCGAAGCTGACCACGCTGCTGCAACTCTAGAGCAAGGAAGTATCGCAGAGCGATGTGCTTCATTCTGTGCTCCAGTCTGTGCTCCTGTCACAAGGCTATCATGGCCTTGTTGTCTACGTACAGGACTGGAGGCGAACGAGGCTGCTCTCCCAAGTCGGTCAGCAAGCAGGTGAGCCAGCGTAGCTCCTGAGCAGCCATGGCTCCGGCGTAGATCTCAGCCTCACAACTGGAGCTGAGAACTGAAGACGAGCGGGTAGACCGCCAAGAAACCGAGCCGGAACCAAGGCTGAAGGTGTAACCCTGTGACGACCGCTGCGTAGCTGAGTCGTCAACCCAGGAGGCGTCTGCGTGACCAGTGAGGACAACTGGACCCCGTCCTCCAAGCACAAGCCCCATGCCTGACGTACTGCACAGGTAACGCAGTACCCTCTTCGCAGCATCCCAGTGCACCTTTCGGTGCCTACCGGGAGCCACGTAGCGAGCCAGAAAGCTGAGAGGGTATGCGAGGTCAGGTCGTGTGCAAGTCATCAGGTACATGAGGCAACCCACAAGCTCTGGGTACGGACCACTCGGCTCTGCGGACTCGTCCGAAGGTGGAGCTGAGAGCGAGTGGCTGGTAGACAGAGGAGTGAGCTGTGGCGAGGAGTACTGGAAACCGAAGCGCTGAAGGACCTGGTGCACCATGTGTGACAGAGTCAGTGTGATGGTGCGCCGTGCTCTGTTCCGGGTGATCTGCAAGCCAAGATAGCTGCGCAGTTCACCCAGGTCAGTGCAGGTATGTCTCTTCTGCAGCTCGGACTTCACAAGGGTCAGTGCCTCAGTGTCAGCCGTGGCAAAGACGAGGTCGTCGACGTACACTAGGACGTAGAACGGCGGCAGTGAGGTGTCGGTGCGTAGAAACAGCGACGGGTCTGCTGTAGAAGGAGCGAACCCAAGAGCCGCAAGTGTAGTCCTCAGTGTGTCGTGCCACTCGCGAGGCGCCTGGCGGAGACCGTAGACTGGCCGGCGGAGGCTCCACTGGGTACCTGCAGGAAACGACCCAGTGAAACCAAGTGGTCAGCGCAGCCAGATCTCCTCGTGCAGGCTGTTCTGCAGGAAGGCTGTACTGAAGTCCAGGGAGTGTAACTCGTAGTCACGCTGAGCAGCTACGTGTAGCAACACCCGAAGAGTAGTCATCTTCGGGGTGGGGGAGAAGGTCTGGAAGTAGTCAACTCCCTGTCGCTGGCTGAAACCTCGAGCAACGTAACGCGCCTTGAAGGCAGGCGGAGAACCCGGCGGCCGCTTCACCCTGAAGATCCACATGCCATCGACTATGTTCACCCCAGGTGGGGGAACCTCGTCGACGTAAGTGCCTGTGGACTTCCAGGATGCCATCTCGGCATTCATGGCTGCCTGCCACTGAGAGGAGTAAGGACCCGTAATCGCATCTGCGTAAGAGCGCGGGGTCGGGATGTCTGGTGCATCCGGGTCTCCCTCAGGGGCAAGCAGCATGGAAGCGAAACGAGGTACAGCAGCTGCAAGACACTCAAAGTCCTCTTGCCTGTCCTCAAGGACGTCCGTGCCAAGAGCACACTCACCCCCGACGGACGGAGGACTGGCAGGGACTGACTCAGCAACTAGAGCAGAGGCGTAGTCAAGGCGGAAGGCAGCAGCAAAGTCAAGCAGCTCAGCAACGAGAGCAGAAGCAGCAGTAGACTCAAAAGATGGGTCAGTGACAGCAGCGGCAAGGAGACGAGCGACAGCGGGACTGGCAGCACGCGCGCGGTCAGACTCAGGGTCAGGGACCTCAGGAAGAGAGGAATCAGGAGGAGCAGGCAGAGGAACATGCAGTGGAACAGAGGAAGGACGAAGTGCCATGGTGTGCGTGCCTGGGACAGGAAGAGGACGGGAACGAGGAGCGCGACGAGCAGTGCGAACAGGCGAGACAGGACAAGACGCAGGCTCACGACGGTCTGTAAGACCTCCAGACTGCTCAGTGTAAGGAGAGGGAACAGGCAGTGGTGAGGCTGGCTGTAACGGCGGCTGCGACTGGTCAGGCGGTGGACACAGGAAGAGAGGAGGAAGACTAGTAGAAGACGGGACACCAAGAACCTGCTGAAGCAGGGGAACGAAGTACGGGCGCGGCCGTACAGTGCCACCAGCACCTCCAGCTCCAGGGTCAACAGCTCCAGCTCCTGCAGCTCCAGCGCCTCCTGCGCCAGGGCCTCCAACTCCAGCTACACCAGCTCCAGCGCCTCCGGCGCCAGCTGCTCCAGGCTCCGTAGGGTCTCCAGCTCCAGTAATAACAGCAGCACCTCCAGCTCCACCGTCTTCAGCCTCGCCAGCTCCGGGAGCTCCACTCCGACTGCGTGCGCGCTGAACAAGCCACTCACGCAGTTGCTGCGAGGACAGTCGCGGTGAAGCACCAGACGAAGCAGCACCCCGAGGCTCAGCACCCCCATACTCCGCACCCTCCGACTCAGTACCCTCAGGCTCAACACCCTCAGGCTCATCACCCCCAGACCTAGCACCCTTAGACCCCGCACCCCCCGGCTCCGCACCCCCAGACGCAGCACCCCCAGACGCAGTACCTGGAGCAGCACCTGAGATGACAGCTACCTGAACAGGCGCAGGACCAGGGAGAGGGTCGACCTGAGACACTCCCGAGGGAGCAGGACCCTGGGGCTGGAGGGGGTCTACCGGAGGTGGACCGGGAGCAAGGAAGAGCGGCGGGGGCGGGGGAGGGGCAGAGCGGTAGGGGAAGAGACGGTAGAAGGAAACCGACTCGTCGAACGTGACGTCCTGAGAAGGGAGGACACGGCGCGAGGTGGGGTGGTAAAACTGCCAGCCAGGCACGTCAGGGACAAAGCCAAGGAAGACGCAGGGAATGGCGCGGGCGGAGAGCTTGTCCGCGGACGTATCGCGAACAAAGGCACGAGAACCCCAGACCCGGAACACCGACGCATCGCCAACCGTCCCCGTCCAACGCAGTGTGGGCGAGGTCTCCGGCAAGGAGACACGGGGCCAAAGGTTGAGCTGATGCGCAGCGTACCGGACCGCAAACGGCCACAGAAAATGGGGAGCGGCCGCATGAATCATGGAGGTACGAGCGACCTCCATGACTAAGCCAATGCGGCGCTCAGCAATCCCATTTTGCTAAGGGGAGTCTGGAAGCGTGAACGACTGGGTGATGCCCTCCCCACGACAAAAGTCCCGCAAGAGGTCGGAGGAGAACTCACCACCTCTGTCAGAGTGCAGACGAAGGACAGGAAGGTCCTGGCCGAACCGCTCGCGCAGCTGGAGACGGACTGTGCGGATCCAAGGGTTCAAGACAGCAGAGACCTCACCCTTGCTGCGCAAGGGGAAGACTGTGGTGTACCGCCTGTAGTCGTCAACTACCAGCAGAAAGTAGAGCTCGCGGCCCTGTCCACTGACGCGGGCTGGGCCCCACACGTCCATGTGGAGGGTCTGCAGGGGAGCACTCGTCGGGGGAAACGAGGAGGAGTGAGGAGCGGCGCGCTGCCGCCCCTCGACGCAAGGAAGACAGGGCGGGGCAGGCGAGGGCGGTAAGGGAGGCAGAGACCTGGGTAGACCAGAGACAAGGAGACGGGAGTGCATGCCACGAAGGCGTGGCAGGGAGGGGTGACCCAGGTGGTGGTGCCAAAGAAGAGTCTGGTGCGACAGAAGGCGACACGAGCAAGAGGCGGCTACCTGACCTGATGCGGACACCTGAGCAGACGCAGCGACCTGAGGAGGCTCAGTAGCCAGTGTGTACAGACTCGACCCTGGCCGACGAGTGAACGTAGCCAGGTGATGCCCCGTCCGTGTGCACGTGCAGATCGACACACGCTGACCCCCCGGAGTGGTGGTAGTGACCATCGCATCCTGAAGGGCAGCGGTACTCACCAAGTTCGTAGAGAACGAGGGGAGGTGAAGACCTGACAGTGAGCCGGACGGAACCGCCGGACACGGGAGGACAGTGGAGGAACTGGCCACGATCGGGCCCCTAGAGGGGTCAGCCAGTCTGACTGGAACAGGTGCAGGAAGAGGGGTGAGAGTGGTGCTATCACGAAAGAAACAGCGCGAGGCGCCGGAGTCCAACGTGAAACTGTGCAAGGCCTCAGCAGGCGTAGTACCAGGGGGAGTACAAGACGCACTAGCACCTAGAGCAGCAGCGGCTATACCTGGGTCAGGCGGCACACACCGGTAACAGTCACCCTCAGCACTAAAAGACAAAGCATACATGGCAGAGATAATAACATCAAAGTCTAGGTCAAAAATAGCAACTCCTGACTGAAGCAACTGCGCCCAGCGACGGCGCTCGACGTCACCACCAAACTCAGCACGCCAGGCGTCGTTAAGGCGGGCAAAGCAGCGGCGCTCAGTGTGAAACCTCCCGCATGTCCAGCCCGCACGGGCACCCGTGCGAATGACATACGGGCAGGTCTCACTACCCTCACCCGCCCCTCGCTGAACCAACCACTCACGGAGCTGCTCGGGCGTCTGGATCTCGCTCCGACGCTGCTGCTGCCGGCCCCGACCACCACCAAGGCCTCCACGGTGAGGTCCAGACCGACCACCACTGGTCCCACCGCCTCCACTGCCGCCACTCCCTCCGCTGCCTCCACCGCCGCCACCAGAGCCTCCACCGCCGCCACCGGTCCCACCGCCGCCACCACCTCCACCGCCTCCACCTCCTCTACCGCTGCCCCCACTACCGCTCCCACTGCCACCTCCACCACCACCGCTGCCTCCTCCACTACCCCGTCCACCCTTGCCCTTGCTGTTGCGGCGCTTCGCACTAGTCGAAGCAGCACCGACGTCCTCAGGAACAGAGACGTCTGCAGCAGCAGCAGAGGTGAAGGAGGAGGAAAGGGGGGAGGGGGAGCACCCCTCAAAGAAGGGTGAGCGCGGAGTGCCACGACCAGCACCTACAGCAACTGCACTAGTCTCAGCTGCAAGGAGATGCTGCTCGAGGAGGGCAACAGTGAGGGAGGTGGGGTCGAGGGTGAGGAAGTGGTCCCTGAGAGAGCGAAGGGAGTCAGGGAGGCGAGTGACTATGAAGTAGAGGGTGATGAACATGGGAGGCTGGTTCGTGGGAAGGAACTCAGCAGGGACGGTAGCGCGGTAGCGAGCGTCGCTAGTGCGCAGGTGGGTAACCAGGGGCCAAACAAGGGGCCGTGGGGCCAAGGGGCCGAGGGGCCAAACAAGGGGCCAGGGGGGCCTAGGGGCCGAGGGGCCAATCAAGGGGCCGGGGGGCCTAGGGGGGGCCGAGGGGCCAAACACGGGGCGGGAGCAGGGCTAGGTACGGGGCCGGGCACGGGCTAGGTACGGGACCGGGCGTTGGGCAGGTACGGGGCCGGGCGCTGGGCTCTGTTGTGGGGCCGAGGGGCCAAACAAGGGGCCGAGGGGCCGAGGGGCCAAACAAGGGGCCGGGGGGCCTAGGGGCCGAGGGGCCAAACAAGGGGCCGGGGGGCTGAGGGGCCGAGGGGCCAAACAAGGGGCCGGGGGGCCTAGGGGCCGAGGGGCCAAACAAGGGGCCGGGGGGGCGAGGGGCCGAGGGGCCAAACAAGGGGCCGGGGGGGGCCTAGGGGCCGAGGGGCCAATCAAGGGGCCGGGGGGCCTAGGGGGGGGGCGAGGGGGCCAAACACGGGGCCGGGCGCAGGGCTAGGTACGGGGCCGGGCGCGGGCTAGGTACGGGACCGGGCACTGGGCAGGTACGGGGCCAGGCGCTGGGCTCTGTAGTGGGGCCGAGGGGCCAAACAAGGGGCCGGGGGGCCGAGGGGCCGAGGGGCCAAACAAGGGGCCGGGGGGCCTAGGGGCCGAGGGGCCAAACAAGGGGCCGGGGGGCCTAGGGGCCGAGGGGCCAAACAAGGGGCTGGGGGGCCGAGGGGCCAAACAAGGGGCCGGGGAGCCTAGGGGCCGAGGGGCCAAACAAGGGGCCAGGGGGCCTAGGGGCCGAGGGGCCAAACAAGGGGCCGGGGGGGCCCAGGGGCCGAGGGGCCAAACAAGGGGCCGGAGGGGCCTAGGGGGGCCGAGGGGCCAAAGAAGGGGCCGGGCGCAGGGCTAGGTACGGGGCCGGGCACGGGTTAGGAACGGGGCCGGGCGCTGGGCCGGTATGGGGCCGGGCGCTGGGCCTAAATGTGAGCCGAGAGACTGGGCCGGGCGCGGGCGTTAGGTACGGGGCCGGGCGCTGGGCTAGGAACGGGGCCTAGCGCGGGCTAGATACGGGGCCGGGCGCGGGTGTCGATGGGGTGCTGGCTAGGAACGGGGCCGGGCACGGGTGTCGACAGGGCGCGGGCATAGGTACGGGCCGGTCGCGGGCGTCGACGGGGCGCTGGCTAGGTACGTGCTGGTCGCGGGCGTCGACGGGGCGTGGGCTAGGTACGGGGCCGGGCGCGGGTGTCGACGGGGCGATCGCGAGCTAGGTACGGGGCCGGGTCGTGGGCTAGGTACGGGCCGGTCGCAGGCATCGACAGGGCGCGGGCTAGGGACGGGGCCAGGCGCGGGTGTCGACGGGGCGATCGCGGGCTAGGTACGGGCCGAGCACGGGCGTGAGAAAGGGCCGAGCGCGGGCGCGGGCTAGGTACGGGCCTATCGCGGGCGCGGTACGGGCGGGGCGCGGGGCTAGGAACGAAGTAGCAGGTGGTGGGCCCAGTAGTAACCTACTCTAATACCATGTTAGATAGTAGCGAGAATGACGAGAGGATGATTTACTAGGAAGCAAGGAAGGGTACAAGTACAATGTCGAGAGAGATTGTGTACCCCTAAGGCTAAACCCACTATAGCCTAGATAATTGTAAACACATAAACACATATGTTTGACAGGTCAAACAATGAAACGCTGTCCCTAGAGTCGCTCAGTAGGTACAGCTGCAGGTCGTCGAGCCACGTGTCAAACTGGATAAGGCGGCCCTCTTAATCGAACGCGAGCACGCGGAGAGAAGGGGTGGCGGGCGGGTCGCAAACGGTGGCGCGCGGGGCTGCATAGGCGGAGAGAAGGGGTGGCGGGCGGGTCGCAAGGGGCGGCGCGCGGGGCTGTAGAGGTGGAGAGAGGGCCGCAAGGGGCGGCTAGCAGAGCAGTAGGGGCGGTTAGAGGGCCACCAGGGCCGGCGCGCGGGGCTGCAATGGCAGCTCGCGGGCTTCAGAGGCGAGGGGCGGGCCGCAATGGGCGGCGCGCGGGGCCCGGGGTCGACGGGCGGGCCGGGGCCTAGGGGCGAAGGGCGGGCCGGGCCGGGCCTAGGGTCGACGGGTGGGCCGGGGCCTAGGGGCAACGGGCGGGCCGGGGCCTGAAGTCGACGGGCGAGCCGGGCAAGGGTCGACAGGCGGGCCTGGGCCTAGGGTTGTTGGGGCGCCGGGGCCTAGGGTCGACGGGGCGCGCGGGCCTAGGGTCGATGGGGCGGGCCGGGGCTGAGGGTAGACGGGGCGCGCGGGGCCTAGGGTCGACGGGGCGGGCCTGGGCCTAGGGTCGACTGGGGGCGCCGGGGCCTAGGGTCGACGGGGCGGGCCGGGGCCGAGGGTCGACGGGGCGCGCGGGGCCTAGGGTCGACGGGGCGGGCCTGGGCTTAGGATCAACGGGGGGGCGCCGGGGCCTAGGGTCGACGGGGCGCACGAGCCTAGGGTTGACGGGGCGGGCCGTGGCCGAGGGTTGACGAGGCGCGCGGGGCCTAGGGTCGACGGGGCAGGCCTGGGCCTAGGGTCGACGGGGGGCGCCGGGGCCTAGGGTCGATGGGGCGGGCCGGGGCCTAGGGTCGACGGGGCGCGCGGGCCTAGGGTCGACGGGGCGTGCCTGGGCCTAGGGTCGACGGGGGGCGCCGGGGCCTAGTGTCGACGGGGCGCTGGGGCCTAGGGTCGACGGGGCGAGCTGGGGCCTAGGGTCGACGGGGCGCGCGGGCCTAGGGTCGACAGGGCGGGCAGGGGCCTAGGATCGACTTGCAGGCTGCAAGAGGGCGGCGCGCGGGGCAGCAGGAGTGGCACGAGGGTCGCTAGGGGCGGCGCGTGAGCCAGCAGGGCGGCTAGTGGGGCAGCGCTGTGGTGGGCCCAAAAAAAAAAATCGGTCCTTACGAAGGACCTGCTCTGAAACCATGTCAAAGTAACGAACGAGAAATGAATGAACTATGAAAGAGTTGGGTACAAGTACTAACCATAATTGGGTTGTACCCCTTATGGGCTACCCCACTATAGCCTACACAAATGTAAGCACTAAAACATTATGACAGATGAAGCTTTAGTAAGTAGGCAGGTAGCTTCTTGTAGAGCTTGTCCTTGAAGTAAACACAATTTCAGTTGTGTAGGAGAGTTTGTTAGGAGAACCAAAATGACTTGAGAAATCCCATTTCCAAATTGGTAAGTTGGAGTTGGGAAGTGGGAATGAGCCTCCAAGCTTCAACCCCTTCCACAATACCCCTTGGGGCTCTTCCCAACCATGGCTTCCATGGTTGGGGAGCTTCTAGGCTTGGAGCCTATGTGACATCTTTGTTTGGTTGGGAAAACCCAACTTAATTGTGTTGTATGGTTGCTAGGTTCTTTGAATGGATCGTAACAACATTTGGCACAATGTGATTGGTTGGAAATCCAACCTTTCCAAGCTTCACTTTGATGGGTTGGAAGTTTCCAAGCCTCAAGGTTGAGGGTTGGAAATCCCAAACCAATCTTCCTCTCCAACTCAACCTTCCCGATTGCCTTCATGTCACTTCTCATCGAGCACTCTGTCGATGTTGACTTAGGAAATCCGCGGTAGTTAGGTAGAGTAGGCGTTACAGTATGGTACTACATATTTACCACCTTGATATCTCGTATTTAACGTCTAGTTGTAATTATCATTGACTCCCATGCAGTTGGGCAAAATATGAGGGGACATTGTCGCTTTTTAGGCCTTTCTTTGCTGCTTTGTGAGTCCACTACAGTGTTCCTCATTCAACCAACCCATCATCATTGGCCTTCGGATGTTTCTGCTGTGTGCTCTAGCGGCGCGAAATTTGTTCATTTTTTTATATACTGTCGCTGTGCTGCGCGATGGTGCTCCGCGCTGTACTAAAAACTGCGCGACCTTGTGTTGTGTGCGGCGCAACTGTCACCCACTGCGCTGTCATCTGGATTACTGTGCAGGTTGCACGCTGGACCTTCCGGGCGCTCGCCCTTCAGTCGTGGTAAGCGCTCTGCCGCAAGCCTCTGTCAGAATATTATGTTTCTCTAGTCTGCAGTGGGGTACTTTGTAGTGAGTACAACCCTGTTAGGGTTTTCTATATGTATCCCAATGTTTGCTAGTGAATTCATCCTCACTCAATTCTTTCGTCAATTTTCTCACATGGTATCAGAGCGAAGGTCTCGGGTTCGAATCCCAGTGTGTGCACTTCGGGCATCCCAGTGCGGGGGGGTGTCAGAGGTCCACTGGTGATCCCCGATTGATCCTAGGGAAGGGTTACAGGCATGTTGGCCTGGGGGGTTATGGGCGCACTGACCCGCTACTTAATAAGCCCTTTTATCCCAATGGTCTAGTGGTTGGGATTCTGACATGGTATAGAGCTGTTTTTCGATCCTTGGGCCCACCACTGAAATTTTTCCTACCCTAGGCGCGCGTCGCGACTGCCCTTAACGGCCCTTCGCGGCCCCTCGTAAGGCCCTTCGCGGCCCCTCGTTAGGCTCCTTCGCGGCCCCTCGTAAGGCCCTTCGCGGCCCCTCGTTAGGCCCCTTCGCGGCCCCTTCGCGGCCCGTTAGGCCCCTTCGCGGCCCGCCCAGGCCCTTCCCCGGCCCCTTTCTCGGCCCGTTAGGCCCCGTCGCGGCTTGTCGCGGCCCCTTCGCGGCCCGTTAGGCCCCTTCGCGGCCCGCCCCGGCCCTTCCTCGGCCCCGTCCCGGCCCTGTCCCGGACCTGCCCCGACCCAGGCCCCGCCCTCATGCCGGTCGTGGTGCACCAGGGGCCCGTGCACCGCCCCCCCCCCCTTTCCCGTCGCCTTACGTGGCGAGCGGGGGGGGGGGGCCACGCGCGCCCCCCCCCCCCCCCCGGGGTCGCCACGTAAGGCGACGGGAGGGGCGACCTGGGGGGGCGCGCGTCGCCCCTTCTTCCGCCTGCTCTGGCGCCCTGG